GTGCAGGTTTCAGACCTTCGCAGAAATATTGAGAGGTTTGTAGTGCCACACAGATTAGTGGTGGGATTTATTGAGACTCTTGGCTGTTGTCCAGAGCACTCTCAGTTTACATGTGAAAAAATTTTGTTATCAAATCAGTTTACTCCAGGAATTCTTTTTTTAATTCAGGAAGAAAATACAATTCATTTATGTAATGAGTTAGAATAAGGCATAGCATTCTTGGGCTTCCAGATAAAGGGAGCTGTCTAGATGTTCCTGTGCTGCTCCTCTCATTCTCAAAAATGCAAATGAAAGCCTGATCTTCCAAACGTCTCCTTCCAGTACTGGATATTGAAGGAATAAGTACTGTAGTATAAATTTGTTTTTACTGAACAGAAAGTCTCTCCTTCATGGTTACTTTCAGGTAGATTGGGAATCACCCTTGTTTTAAGAACTCAATAGTGTTAGCACTCTGTTGCTGTCTTTTACACTATTGATCTGCATGGTTAAAACAGGAGAGTCGGGCAAGCTTCACATCCAGAATGGAGTTCACAGGCAGACAGGGGTGTGTGGAGAAAATTTTATAGAATGATAGAATCATAGAATGGTTTGGGCTGGAAGGGACCTTAAAGATCACCTAGTTCCAACCCCCTTGTTTTGAGAAGGGACACCTCCCACTAGACCATGCACAAGGCCCCCTCCAACCTGCTCTTGAACACCTCCTGTGATGGAACATCCACAACTGCCCTGGGCAACCTGTTCCAGTGTCTTGCTGCCCTCATAGTGAAGATCTTCTTCCCTACATCTAATCTAAATCTATCCTCTTCCAGTTACCCAATCTAAATCTGCCCTCCTCCAGTCTGAACTGATTATTCCTCATTTTATCACCACAAGCCCTTGTAAAAAGTTCCCTACCCAGCTTTCTTGTAGGCCCCCTTCAGATACTGGGAGGCCTCATTAAGGTCTCCCTGGAGCCTTCTCTTGTCCAGGCTGAATAACCCCAACTCTCTCAGCCTGTCATCACAGGAGAGGTGCTCCAGACCTCTGATCATTTTTGTGGCTCTCCTCTGGCCCCACTCCAACAGGTTCATGTCCTTCTTCTGTTGGGAGCTCCAGAGCTGGACACAGTATTCCCAGTGGGGTCTCACAAGAGCAGAGTAGAGGGGAAGAATCACCTCCCTCGACCTGCTGACAACAGTTCTTTTGATGCAGCCCTGGATTGTATATTGGCCTTCTCAACTGTACTCTCACGTTGTTGGCTCACGTTAAGCTTTTCATCAAGCAGCACCTCCAAGTCCTCCGCCTCAGGGCTGCTCTCAGTCTACTCATTGCCCAGACTGTATTTGTGCTTGGGATTGCCCTGACCCAGGTGCAGGACCTTGCACTTGGACTTGTTGAACTTCATGAGGTTGGCATGGGCCCATCTCTCAAGCCTGTCAAGGTCACTCTGCTTGCTGAGAGTGCACTGAATCCTACTGTCCATGTCACCTACAAAGATGCTAAACAGCACCAGTCCCAGTATCAATCCCAGAGGAACAAAATTTCTGAAAATCTAAAGCATTTTACTTCTTTCTAAACTACAGGTAGACTGTAGTTTTCCCCACACTGTATTAATCTGACCCACTCCTAAACCACAAGAGTGCTTGCAGTCCCTTTTATAGAAATAGGTGCTTGTAACTTTGCTTTTCAAACCCTGATACATTAAAACAAAATTGGTGTTTGCAATTAAAATAGACACGGTGTTGGAGCCTGAAGTCTAAAATGTCTTACACAAAATTATAATTGGGTCACTTAATTTCACAACCTTAAATATGTTTTCAGAAATATGCTTAAATATGCTTTTTCAGACTGCTTGTTAGCAAAGGAGACTTCAGCTTTGTGTTCTTTACATTCCTTAGGTAACTAAATTTTTGTGTCCCAGGTTGAAGCCTTCCCTCCACTTTGTCTCCTGGAATCAAGAGGGCTGGAAAACTGGTTTGTGTTCAGTACCTCCTGTGGGCCATTCCCATTCCCTTCTGGCTTTAGCAAACAACACCTGTGTAAAACCAACTTTCATTCAACTCAAAGACAGTTTTATGAAGCTGTACAAGAAAAAGGTACAACACTCAGCATTATTACATCTGTAGCTACTGAATGTTAGCATCTTGCATTATTGGAAGAAAATCTTAGTATCACAGAGGGGCTGCTTAAAATTAACAGCCAAAGATTTTTATTTGTGTTACCTATCAAGGAATCATTACAGCAGCTGCTGCTTAAAAAGCATAAACCCCTTCCTAATCTGTACCTACCAGGCACTATACCTACTTTCTTCAGTAGTGAGATGGTATCTGACAGATCTGTGTACAGTGGGTTGATCTTGGTTGGCCTTCAGGTGCCCACCAATCTGTTCTCTCCCTTCCTCAGCAGGACAGGGGAGAAGGTACAATAAAAAGCTTGTGGGTCAAGATAAGGACAGGGACATCACTCACCAGTTACTGTCATGGACAAAACAGACTTAACTTGGGAAATAATAATTTATATTGCCAATTAATAATAGAGTAAGATAGCAAGAAATAAAACCAAAACTGAAAACACCTTCACCACACACCCTTCTTCCCGGGCTCAATTTCACTCCTGCTCCTTCTTCACTGATCTTGGTGTCTGCAGGGCTGTTTCTCTCACATTTTTCTCACTTCTCTTACAGCTGTTGTGCAACATCTTTTACCCCTCCTTAAATATATTCTCACAGAGGCACTACCACCATCACTGACGAGCTCCACCTTGGCCAGTGGCAGGTCCGTATTGGAGCTGGCTGAAACTGGCTCTGTCCAACATAAGGGCAGCTCCTGGTGTCTTCTTACAAAAGCCACCCCTGCAGCCTTGCACTCCCCCCATTACCAAAAGCTTGCCACATAAACCCAATACTCCATTTGGTCAGGTGTGCCCAAGAAGAGGGAACACAAAAAGATGGGTGTGTAAGAAATCAGTAATAGCAACTGTGATTCCATACAGGATTGGCACTGAAGTTGTCAAGTATTTAAACAAGGGATAGCATGATATAAGTCTTTATATCTGATTTCTACAGTGCTTGCACTCCCCTCTTCAGTGCAAGCTAAATGGCACTGACTAATCTGAAGGAATTAGGTGCCAAGAGGTAACACCTAATCACCCTAACACCTAATTAGGTACTGGGTAGGTAACGCTGATTTTTTTTTTTTTGTTGTTTTGATAGGCTCACCTTCACCATTATCTGCATGTAGATGGGATGGAGCAAAGCTGTTTTTCTGAAGCCATATCATCATTATCTGACCTAATAGAAGAGTACAATGAACTGGATGCCACAAAAGGTGGGCCCAGAACAGAACCATCAAGACTGAAGATCGCTGTTTAAAAAAGGAAGAACTGATTTAGTTGTTTGGTTTTTTTTTTTCCATTTCCACCAAGCATCCAACCACTCCAGGTAACCAGAATGAACTGCAGCAGGCATAGCTATTGTAATTCTAAAGTGAGACTGGGACAACAGATTCCTCAGCTCTGAGAGGTATATTAAGTGACAGACCTAGTCTGTAAGAGACTTCAAGGCACCTTATTATGGCAGACATCAGTAAGAGCAGTCCTCACTGTAAACTGACATACCATACACTGTAAAGAGAAGAAAGAGAGATTGTAGCAGCCCTGTTCCTGGACTTTCAGCTTATATTAAATCAAAGACAAGCCTTGCTTCAAGGAAAGATCACCATTGCTAGATTTGGTTTTTAGCAAGCAACTATGAAAAGAAGAAAAGCCCACATCCGACGATGAAGGCAGGTCTAATGAAACTGGTTTCTGAAACTGCGGGATAGTTGTCATTTCAGAATGCTCTAAGCCACGTTCGTGGGTTTAATGTTCTTGCTTCCACAGTGTACTTAGCTGTAGTAGAGCATCCTGAGTTGACATCAGAATTGGCCATGTCAGAAAATTCAACAAAATAATTTAAGTTTCAAATATTATACTTGGAGTATGAATCAACATATTATTTTAATGGTTCATATTATGAATGCTGAGTTGCACTTGATAGTAATACAATATACCTCTGAGTGAAACATGCACTTATAATGAAGTTTATTCTCTTTTTGGAAAATAAAGTTTATATGCTTAAAAGGTTGCAAGTAAGGTAGATGGTTTAGTATTTATAATTTCCAGGGTAAGTAAATTTTTATGTTACAATAAGAGCTTTTATGAAACAGAATGTACAACTGTTTCCAGTTGTTTGCCAGCCCTGGCTGTCTTAGAACAGCAAGACTAGTGAACTGCTACAAATCAGAATGGATCAATACAATGATTTCTTAAAGCTTGAAGCTCTTCAAGCAGAGCTGGAGTGGGTGTACAAGTAAGCACAATTTTCAGTTTGTAAGTCCAGAAGTGTTCAATAAAATGTTGTGATAACATTTGACAGCTTTTTTTAAGAAACCATTCTAAAACTAGTAATTTCCTTGAAATTTTGCATCTATTATCTGCAAATGCCCACTTATTTGTTGCTTTAGAAGTGTATTGTTCATGTTCACGGCACTAGAGAAAGTTTATCTGCTCCAAGAAAGCAATCTGAGCTTAAAACAGCATTGATATGTTTTACTATTGCAGATACATAGCAAAAAATGATAATTTGATAATCAGGAATTATAAATTAAGTACTACAGGTTAATTACTTTTCCTAATAGTTTAGAGCTTCTGTGAATATCCATGGATTGGTCTTTGTGGGAAAAAATCTTACTAGAGCTGTGTACAAAGTTGTCTTGGTGTGCATTTTTTAATTACCAAAAGTTCTTGTTTTGACAATTTTAGTGTCATGTACATCCTTCTCAAGAATGTATTTCCACATGTAAAACCAATTATGTTTAAAAAGGTGCACCCTTACTTGCTTTTTCCAGATGCTATTCAAAAAAACCTGAATATTCCCCTATGTGGTTTGACTGTGAGCATTGCTGCAGCAGGGTTACAGCAACTCCTTGGGCTGTGAGTGTGCCCCTGCACTCTCAGTACATTACAGTCAGTGCTGTAAATTGTCATAAAACCTTGAGTTCAGAAAATATATCTCCTGGAGTATTGCAAATCCTTTGACATACGCAGGATGTTATCCACATCATCTTCCACTTAAAGAAGCCTTCATTGGGACATTCAAACTGTACAGTGATCATTTTGGACTTATTAGGTATGCAGCACCTCTTGTCCAAGCACACCCCACAGAAAGTTAGCTTGTAGCTTTGGGTAGTGGAACATCCAGAAAAAAATAGTTTCTCTGCTGTAGGAAGCTGGAATGTAGGTTGACATGTTTTTCCTTTTGGAATCTGTAATATAAAAATGAAGAAAAGCCTGAGTTTTTACACATTAAAACCAGAACGTACAAGAAAAAATGGAACATTTACATAGAAGTATCTGGAAAATCACTCCTCAAAGCTGTCATTTTTATTTCAGTCAACAAACTGAAAATAGTTTGAGTGATTGAGCATGAGGGTAGCACTAGCAGCACTTGTATTTCAGGGTGTTATATTGTTTTGTTTGAAATTACACATCTCTAGTCTACTGCTAAAGACTGAAGGTAGAAAACAGAAGAGTTATTTTAAAACACTTATTTAAAATGGCTTCTTCCTTTTCTCAGTAGTTGCCAATACATCCGTTTTCCCATTGATTCCAATACTTTCATTTTATATTAGAAAATACCTTTACTGTCTTCAGTACATTGGTCAGGCAAGGCTGGATGAAGCATAACCTCTTTTCTTTCTTCATTTCACATTTTCTGTTTTCGTTGGTGACTCTGCTGGATATGCCCATGCCACAGGTCCTGGAACACGGTGTCCAGGGGGTCGCCTGCACTAGGCACTTGTTCTTCAAAACGAGTGGTAAGCTCCTGTAAGCTAAGGCAGCAATAAATTATTTATGCAGCAGAAGGGCCCCAGAAGGACTAATTGAAATTAAAAGGATTAACAATTGTTTTCTGTTCAGGAAGGTGCTTTTGTAAGTAAGTGTAAAAATACTGGCATTGGATGCTCAGCTCCTAGCAAGGACTGCATGTGTTGTGTGACCTTCCAGTTTAAGGTGATGGAAATGTTATGTGGCGAGTCATTTGAGTGGAATTTTTGTGAAGTGTCCAGAATGAAAATTACTCATGACCCAGCATAGCTTGAAAAGGCATGTTGAAAACATTCATGCTGGTTTCTTTGTAGATACTGTGAAGGCTTTAGGTTTTGTATTGAGGAGTTAAGTTTTCCAGTCACTTCCAGGTATCACCAAAAAGCCTATTTTCTGATGGATTAGGGGGAGTACACTTCAAAAAAGAAACAAAATTGCAGTGCAAAAAGTTCATGGTGAAACTCTGCAAAAAAACCCTGACTATGTGGAATCTGTGCATTTAGGTAAGAGCACAGGCAGTTATTACAAGGATACCTGGAAAGTGGACAGCAATTTAAAGATCCATTGCAGCAGACAGATTAAAAGCCTGTCAGAATCTGCAATAAATAAACAGAAGTTAAATGTTCAGTTTTACTTAGTACTATGACCTCAGTACAAACCTGTGTCTCTGAATTAGTTAAATCAAATTAAGAAGAAAAAACAGACAATAAGGCAAGAGTGGTAAAGTGAAACTTGGCACTTGTTACCCACACTAGCAGAAGACAGACACTTCAAAACAGACATTGGCCTATGGAGCCTTTCCTGGAACTCGTGCACAGGTTGACATGATACTTCAGCTGCACTGGGAAGGGGGGAGACCTCACTTTGAAATAAAAATTTCAAAGTACTTCAGAGGGCTTGTGTCACCTGAAGAATAGCATCCTTCAGAGTGTACAGCCACCACAGGGACAGGCTCTTGGGCCCCTAAACCAAGTCAGATGGGGAGGGTGCTTTGCAAGCAGGATATCTTTTCTCAAGGTTATGTTGCCCAGTTGATTCAAATTCCTGTATAAACACGAAGAGGTGCAGGGCAGTCCACGAAGGAGTTACTGAAGGTTGGACTTTTGGATTCACTGAAGGGTTACAGAGTAAATGGCGTAATGCTGTTCTCCAGGTGTCTGAGACACAGCTCCCCACAAACCAAATTAACATATTTCATGGGGCCAAATGATTTTGTTGTCATTGTTTTCAATGCATTGTGTTCTCTGATCAGATTAGCAATGTTCTCTAGAAATGAAGTCTCTCTTCATTTGAAGTCACTTGCCTTACCACATGTGTTTATACACAGCATTAACTATATTTCTGTAAAGACTTTGATACTGCTTATAGGTATCGTATCATATGAGCTTTTTAATTTTTGCTAACTTGCATAATGCCTTATAAATTGTCTAATCTGAACTTCGTATTTTGTAAGTGGGTCTATTTATCTGCAGATTAATCTACATATGTCTACCTGTTTACTCCAGTCTTTCATCAAGGTTTTCTGATAAGCTTTGCTATCCTTTTATTTTATTCATCCATATGATGATTCAGGCCACAACTTACCCACAATTCAGGCTGCCACCAAATGAATGGCTCAGCTTTCTGGTACCCATGTTAGTCGTAACAAAGATGAGTTTTACTGTGGAAAGTTGCACACACACAGTGAAGGAGATGGGCAGAAGCGCAGGGAAGGGCCAGGACAGCTGCTCCTGGCAATGGTGCTTCCTCAAAGTGACGAGGAGAACTACAGTTTTGGCAGCAGAGCCAGAATGAGGTTAAGGGGATTATCAGCTGACCCTGGCAGAACTGCACGGATAAGCTCCTGTACACTTCAATCAGACTGAATAGAGAAGAAACTGGGGAGAGAATTGTCCTTGCAGTGACCTGAAATTTTGTGAATTCAGAACAGCCACTAAGGCACATTCTTACCATGTTCGGCTTTCTATTGAAAGAAGAGGCCTGCAACATGTTAACGTATGTATGTGAAAACCAAGACTCCCTACCACCACAAAGCAGGAGAAAGTGAGACAGCTCCCAGGCTGCCAAATGGCTGTCCAACAGCAGCCCTAATTGGTCTGATCTGATGAGTAGTAAACCTCTGCAGAAGGATGGGTTGAAGGTAGCTTTGGCCAATTCCCTGGTGACAGAAGCCAAAAGGCTTTTGCTTTTCATATTCATGAGGTCTAGAGAAAAGAGCCTGTGACCTATGACTAAGAGGGGTAATTGGGACGGACCGGTCACCCTGGCAATGGCCTTCAGCAAGAACTGAGAAACAGCCTGCCCGGCTGCCGGAGCCAGGGCCGCCAGACACAGCGCGGCCCAGGGACGGAGACATCTACGCGTGTAGCCAGGCACACCTGACAGCACTCTGTAGTTTGTTGATTGAAGCTGCTTGTGCTGTCCTGGGCCACAGCTGGGTTGTCCGGGCTTCTTTCTGCCTGTGACCCTGGCGCAGGGACTTGCTGCTAATCTCGGGGTGAACACAGGTGTACATCCGATGGCCCCGCTGACACACAGGCACTTGTACAGCGGGTTAGGTTGGAAGGTCTGCCCGTTAAGGTAATAAACTCCATTGAGCTCACATCCTACAGCTACCAGATCTGCAAATGGTAAACAACAGTTACTCACACACAAAGTGGTTCCTGCTTACAATGTCATCAGCCTTTACTGCACCCATGGCTTTGAGTTCTTCCCAGTCCAAGCACATTGGTTTGTTTTTATTTATGCCACCTAAGTTTAAATCGGCCATCAGCATGTCTGCAAATCAGCCTGTGCACAATGAGCTGGTGTCGCTACTGCACCCAAAGGTAAGGTTAAAGACAGTCCCAGCTCCACTCTCAGATTCTACGGCTGAACAGTCAAAGGACTAAATTAGGATAAATTTGCCTAGCACAGGGCTGTGCAGCACTAGCAAGCTGAGTTTTTCTCTACAACCATTCACTTGCATGGTCCCACCCTCCTGGATTTTAAGAAGGGAACATGAAAAACAACTTACATGCACACACGCCTGTTTCATACCTAGGCTCATCTTCCGAGTAGTTGCAGTAGAGGCCTTTGTGGGGGTCACAGACATCTGCTTCATTGCAGGTCTCACCCGACTGCTTGGCACAGACCTTACAGCAGTCACAACCATCCTTCACCAAGCTTACCCCGGGGGTGCAGGTTGGGACAGGTGGGCATCTACATGGCCAGTGACAAACCTCCTTGCGAGGGCGGACTTCACCGGTTTCTGAAGGTTTTTCTCCAGGCTTCACTGGTGGGCTGTGGAAGAACTTACACAGAGTGGGATATTTTGAGAGCTGAATGCAGTGTGTGCAGCTAGGATGGCATAAAGCGAAGTTGGGATGGGAAAAACTGAGGTTGCAACAACATTTCTCATCTCTCAAGATCCAAAAAGCGAGAGGCTGTGAGGTGTAGGTAAGAGACAGAGGAACAATTTCATCAGTCATTGTCATGCACTGAGATAACATTCCACCAACGAGCCTGACCTACTGATTGTGTGAAACACATTCATTGTTTTCTCTTGCCTTCAATAGAACAAAACCTGTAATAGGGCTAAAGTAGGAAGAAAAGTGTTTTAAAGTAAATCGTGGATTTTAAATATTCCTTCCCACAAACCTCCTATCAAATTAATTGATTTTGATTCCTCCCACTGTTTAATAGTCAGCCCTGCCCTGTGTGCCACTTCAATAGGTTTCCTATTTTAAAAAGCTTTTGCTCTTTTGAGTGTTACTTTGCTCCAAACTTTAAGCAGTTGTTTGGGGAAGGAGCAGTATTGTATTTACAAATTCTCTCTGCTAGGCACAAAAATTGAATCCTAATAAGGGAGGCTAATAGTTGTGCTGAGTTTAATGGGTCATTCTCTTCTTAGTCATGCACTATTTGCACGAGTAAGTGTTCATTGAATCCAGGGCTTACAGGGCTGATGTATCTCTGAAAGAGATTTGTATCAGTAGTAGGAGGTCAAGATCTAGCCAGGATTTACTCTTCCACATTCTGGCTCAGATTTCATGTCTTTTTTTTTTGTTTCTCCTTTCCTTCCTCTTTTTTTTTTTTTAAGAAAAGGAAGTCCTATGTAATTCTTGATGCACTTATTTTTCTGAGGCATGGAGGAAGATTAAGTCAGCACAGGCTGTGAAAAGATCTATATGAGACAGCTAGATCATATCTGCTTTTTTTGAAGAACTATATCTAAAACATAACTGTTGAGATGTTAGCTCTAAATCTTTGCATGCTGCTGATTTCAGCAGAAATGCAGATTGTGGTATCATTATTCATCACGGATGACTGGATGCATAGCTAAGTGCGGGCACACACAGCGCTTGGCCACTTGTACAATGTAATGCTTGGGAGCTGCTCTCATCAAGCGGCTCCCACTGCCCAAAGAGCCAGAGAGAAAGACAAAATCCAGCCCCCTCATCAGGTGCCAGTATCAGCAGGGAAAAAGAAGAAAAAAGGTATAGCCTGTATATTTTCTGGGCACATGAAGCTCCACCTATGAGGTTCTCTCTGTTCCTCCAAACTGCAGGGCTCTGCTGATGTGGAAACCGCCTCCAGCAGAGACAATAAGGGAAAGCTAGGCAAGGAGTTGCTCGGATGCACTTCTTCTCAGTTCAGCTTTCAAACTGGAAATGTGAGCACAGTTCAGCATTTCGTGTGTCATATCCCACAAAAGCTCTCACAGCATAATTGAGCTGGTCTAATCATATGCAGCAGCAAATAACCTTTTAAAAGGCTTTTTTTACCACTAATTTCCATTTTTTCATGGTCATTTACAACTATATTTACGATATCTTAATCCACAGCTACTAATGAAGCTCCAGAGTACTAGCTTTCAAGTTCCTTCAGCTGAATGATTTTTAAGATACATATTAATTCACAGAGGCAATTCATACAATAAATGAATATTAAACAATGTCATGTGCTATTCCATACAGCATGCAGAAGACAGTTTCATAAATGTGTTGTTCTGTTAATCATTTGCTGATTTATTTCTAATAAATGCAGCAATAACACAGAGACAACTAACTTACGTATAAGTTTTTAGGCAGCTAAGCCTTTCCTATAGACCATAGTGTTAATTTGATGAATGTTTGCATGGGAGTGTAAAGGCTTCTTAAAGGCTTGTTCTGGAACCAGGGGACACAGGTGTTCCTACACATTTAGCGGTGTTCAAGACCCTATGGTTGCTTTAGCAAACACTTTCTTGTGGCTTTTTTTCTTTCTAAGCAGAATATTATTAGGAAGCTGGCCATGTGCCAGCTGTGAGAGGTTATGTGGCTTAAATCAGACGTTGTGTTTCAAAATGGGTATGTGTAGCAGGAAATAATCTGTGTGCTTTAACCAGTATTTTAATTTGTATTACAAATTAAAGTGTGCTTTAAACCTACAGAACTCTACCTAAGCAAGTGTTTGGTGTATTTTTAAGGAAAGATGTCAAGTGAAAGGTGTGACTGCAGAATTACCCATTAAGAAAAACACCATCAGGCAAATATCTGCCAGTTTTAATTGTAGAATTACTGAGAAGCTCAGTCTACCTGAAAAATCTTTAAAAATGTCTAAAGGTACAATGAAAATTTAAAGTTTGCTTGTAAAGTTTACAGGCGAAATATTTTATATTATGATTCTTGATTCCCAAAGTTTCTAGACCAATGCTATCCACATCACACAAGCCCACTGCATACTTTTCCTGATCCTATGGGCAGATCAGAAAATGAGACCATTGTGTAGCAGCCCTTCATGTGTTGTTTGTTTTCTTATGTTTAAAAGATTGAATAAGGTCTGTATGGCATAACTAAGCAAATAGCAAAAGCAGACAATGTATTATTGCTTTATTTGGTTATCTTAGTTTGGCTTTACATATGCAGAAAGTTAGCAGAGGGAGACAGTCATTTGAAAATCCTCCATTTGGCATTTACCTCTGTCCTAAAGGAAAAATGCAGTGTGTACACAAAATGTATTTTCAGATTTAAGTAATTACATAATGAAATTAGCCTTTCACACAAATACCTTCAGCAAAAACTATCACTTAAAATTTTCTCATAAGAGACAAAGCATAAGACAGCCCAGGTGCCTTTTTCATTTATAAAGCTAGCCTGAAGTCAGACCGCTGTGCTTATATACATATATATATATATATATATATCTGCGGAATATAAGCATGGACAAAATGCTTACTTTCTTACTTAATGCATCAGATAAGCATTTGTGCTTAAATTTAAAAAAAAAAAAAAAAAAAAGTCACTGACAATTTAAGCTTCCCTAACACTTTTTTCTCTACCGAATCATATTAATGTACATATTAAAAAGAAAACAAAAACACAAAAATCAAGACTGATGCAGTAAATAAGCTGCAAATGTAGTTTCCTCAGGAGTAGGGAATGGCTTCTTATTCTTTATGAGGAATTTGCTTCTCTGAAATTTATTTTGTCATTAAGCAAATAAAAATTTTAAACCAGGACAGGATGAAAAAGGAAGAAATCTTTTTCTTCTTTGTAATTAACTTACCTGTTGCGTACAAGGGATGATGAAGATGGTGGGAAAAAGGAGCCACCGCATGTTCCGGCACATTCAGAAGTGAAACTGGGAGATAGGGAACAGGCTGAGCTGTGTCGGAGGAAGCACTGAACACAAAGCTCTCCTCTGTCTCCCTTGCCAACCCTACTTTCCCCAGCACATGCACAAACACATACACACATTCACACTTGAAATTCTCCACTTCACACAGAACCAGCTTCACACTGAAATTTCCAGCTGATCTTCTTTCCTCTGCCCAGCACTAGAATACAAATTTTCGCACCCTGCTTGATCCCATCCAGTTGCTTCAGCAGATTCCGCCTGACTTAATTGTGGTCGGGTGGGATGGCAAGTGATTCTTAAAATCTTACTGCTGGAAACTTAGTGTTATTTTTAACTTGTCTCTGGGTCTACATTGCAGGACTTTCTGAAATCTGAAGGGCAGAGCCCCGAATACATATATTTTTTGAGACAGAGAAAGACAAGTTTCTCAAAATTTCTAATGCATTGTGCCTAGCATCATCATGGTGTAAAAATAAACACTGT